TATATATATATATGTGTACAGAGCACCACTTGGTTTCCGAACTTTAGTTATCCGAAACTTCCAGTTTCCCGATTGGGGTTGGGGAGTCATGCTACCCGAACAAAGTTCGGGTAGGAAGGGGTCCACCAAGCGTCACGCCGGCTTGTGGTGGTGGGTGGGCGATGGTCCAGTTTGCCCACTGTGACTTCACAGATTCACGGCCTATTATTCCTATTATTTTGAATTGCCATAAGGCTGGAATGTTCATTCTGTGCTTTTGTTTTACATATCTGCACAATCAAGAAACATCTGTGCACCAGTTGGCTCCAAATGCACCCATTGCGTCAGTGATGGCTGACTGGTGGGTGGATGGACGATGGAACTTAGGTGGGAGGCAGTATGAATGAGGGGGGGGGGAGAATCAGTGAGAGAGAGGGGGAGAGAGATGCTAGGAGGGAGGGGGAGGTAGGGAGAGATGTTAGGAGGTAGGGAGAGATGCTAAGAGGGAGGGGGAGGTAGGGAGAGATGATAGGAGGTAGGCAGGAAGGGATGGAAGTAGTGAGAATTAGGGAGGGAAAGGCAGGCTGGCAGGCACAGGCAGGCAGGCAGGCAGGCTAGCTTGCAGGCAGGCAGGCTAGCTTGCAGGCAGGGAGTGAGTGGTAGTCACGAGGTTGAACCGCGTGACCTTGAGAGATGGGATGTAGGGGGGCGGGTGGTTTGTTGGTGGTGGGGGTGAGACCGGCTCATTCCCGAAGATAAGCCTAACACACACTACCCGTTAGCATGATGGCAGGGGGGGAGGCAGGCTGGCTGGAAAGGAAGCAGGCTGGCAGGCAGGCAGGCTGGCAGGCAGGCTGGCTGGCAGGCTGGCTGGCAGGCTGGCAGGCTGGGAAAGAGGCAGGCTGGCAGGCTGGGAAGGAGGCAGGCTGGGAAGGAGGCAGGCTGGGAAGAAGGCAGGCTGGGAAGGAGGCAGGCTGGGAAGGAAGCAGGCTGGCAGGCTGGGAAGGAAGCAGGCTGGCAGGCTGGGAAGAAGGCAGGCTGGGAAGGAGGCAGGCTGGGAAGGAAGCAGGCTGGCAGGCTGGGAAGGAGGCAGGCTGGCAGGCTGGGAAGGAGGCAGGCTGGCAGGCTGGGAAGGAGGCAGGCTGGCAGGCTGGGAAGGAGGCAGGCTGGCAGGCTGGGAAGGAGGCAGGCTGGCAGGCTGGGAAGGAGGCAGGCTGGCAGGCTGGGAAGGAGGCAGGCTGGGAAGGAGGCAGGCAGGCAGGCTGGGAAGGAGGCAGGCAGGCAGGCTGGGAAGGAGGCAGGCTGGCAGGCTGGGAAGGAGGCAGGCTGGCAGGCTGGGAAGGAGGCAGGCAGGCAGGGTGGGAAGGAGGCAGGCTGGCAGGCTGGGAAGGAGGCAGGCTGGCAGGGTGGGAAGGAGGCAGGCTGGGAAGGAGGCAGGCTGGGAAGGAAGCAGGCTGGCAGGGTGGGAAGGAGGCAGGCAGGCAGGAAGCGATATATGGGTGTTGAAGTGAACTGTGAACCACGTGACCTTTGAGAGTGTGTGTGTGTGTGTGTGTGTGTGTGTGTGTGTGTGTGTGTAATTACCTAAGTGTAATTACCTAAGTGTAGTTACAGGATGAGAGCTACGCTCGTGGTGTCCCGTCTTCCCAGCACTCTTTGTCATATAACGCTTTGAAACTACTGACGGTCTTGGCCTCCACCACCTTCTCACTTAACTTGTTCCAACCGTCTACCACTCTATTTGCGAAGGTGAATTTTCTTATATTTCTTCGGCATCTGTGTTTAGCTAGTTTAAATCTATGGCCTCTTGTTCTTGAAGTTCCAGGTCTCAGGAAGTCTTCCCTGTCGATTTTATCAATTCCTGTTACTATTTTGTACGTAGTGATCATATCACCTCTTTTTCTTCTGTCTTCTAGTTTTGGCATATTTAATGCTTCTAACCTCTCCTCGTAGCTCTTGCCCTTCAGTTCTGGGAGCCACTTAGTAGCATGTCTTTGCACCTTTTCCAGTTTGTTGATGTGCTTCTTAAGATATGGGCACCACACAACAGCTGCATATTCTAGCTTTGGCCTAACAAAAGTCATGAACAACTTCTTTAGTATATCGCCATCCATGTATTTAAATGCAATTCTGAAGTTAGAAAGCATTGCATAGGCTCCTTGCACAATATTCTTAATGTGGTCCTCAGGTGATAGTTTTCTATCTAGAACCACTCCTAGATCTCTTTCTTTATCAGAATTCTTTAAAGATTTCTCACATAATATATAGGTTGTGTGGGGTCTATGTTCTCCTATTCCACATTCCATAACATGACATTTATTAACATTAAATTCCATTTGCCAAGTGGTGCTCCATATACTTATTTTGTCCAGGTCTTCTTGAAGGGCATGACAATCATCTAAATTTCTTATCCTTCCTATTATCTTAGCATCATCAGCAAACATGTTCATATAATTCTGTATACCAACTGGTAGATCATTTATGTACACAATAAACATCACTGGTGCAAGAACTGAACCCTGTGGTACTCCACTTGTGACATTTCTCCATTCCGATACATTGCCTCTGATTACTGCCCTCATTTTTCTATCAGTCAGAAAATTTTTCATCCATGATAGAAGCTTACCTGTCACCCCTCCAATATTTTCCAGTTTCCAGAACAACCTCTTATGTGGAACTCTGTCGAAAGCCTTTTTTAGGTCCAGATAGATGCAGTCAACCCAGCCATCTCTTTCCTGTAATATCTCTGTGGCCCGATCATAGAAACTGAGTAAATTCGATACACAGGATCTTCCTGATCGAAAACCATACTGTCTGTCTGATATTATATCATTTCTCTCCAGGTGTTCTACCCATTTAGTTTTGATTAGCTTTTCCAATACTTTCACTATTACACTTGTCAATGATACAGGTCTATAATTGAGGGGGTCTTCCCTGCTGCCACTTTTGTAGATTGGAACTATGTTAGCCTGTTTCCACACGTCTGCTACGATTCCTGTACACAGGGATGCCTGAAAGATCAGGTGAAGTGGAATGCTGAGCTCAGATGCACATTCTCTCAGAACCCATGGTGAAACGCCATCTGGGCCAGCTGCTTTGTTCCTCCCGAGCTCCTTTAGCATATTTTCCACTTCATCTCTAGACACCTCTATCCGCTCTATGTTGTTCTCTGGAATTCTTATTGTGTCTGGTTCTCTGAAGATTTCATTTTGTACAAACACACTTTGGAACTTTTCATTTAATGTTTCACACATTTCCTTTTCATTTTCCGTGAATCTGTTTCCCATTTCCAACCTCTGGATATTATCCTTTACCTGCAATTTGTTGTTTATGAATTTGTAGAATAGGCCCGGTTCTGTTTTACATTTATCTGCTATCCCTTTTTCAAAATTTCTTTCTGCCTCTCTCCTTACTGCTGTATAATTGTTTCTCGCATCTTTGTATCGCTGGTATGTTTGGGGGTTTGGCCTCTTCCTATACTGATTCCATTTTTGTGTCTTTTGGTCTCTTGCCCTCTCACAATTTCTGTCGAACCAATCCTGTTTTCTGGTCCTGCATCTCTGTTTTGGTATGAATGTTTGTGTGCCTTCCTCGTATAGTTTTAAAAATTTGTATTGGGGGGAGAGGGGGAGGTGTGTCGGTGGTGGGGGGAGAGGGGGAGGTGTGTCGGTGGTGGGGGGAGAGGGGGAGGTGTGTCGGTGGTGGGGGGGAGAGGGGGAGGTGTGTCGGTGGTGGGGGGAGAGGGGGAGGTGTGTCGGTGGTGGGGGAGGGACCGGCCGACTCCGTAAGCCTAACCACACTCCACAGACCTGTGACCCAGATTTGTTTCTTAAATGTACAGTACATCATCGTATATTTTAGGCAGGATGTTCCTGCAGGCTGGCAGGAAACATCCAGAGGATGTTTGCCAGACGTCTTAATAATCAGTTAGGAACAATTAAGGACTTTTATAAAGCGGATCAGAACTTCACTTATTGATGAGTACAAACAAAACACGGTCGCATTTACGCCATGAACCTGGCGATTTTTTTCCCTAGAGTTTTTTTTCATAAATTTTTCGGAAAAATTTCTTTTTACATTTCTAGTTTATTTTTTCCCCTCTATTTCTCGTATACTATATGTATGTATGTAATATTAATTATTGTGCTGCAAAATGAATATAAACGTTATGTTTCTAGGTTCCTTTACCTTACCTTAGCTTACAGTGACATTTTCTTAAACAGTCACTTATCCCGTCAATATGTTACTGGTCTTTCACAAAGTGACAAAGAGTGTCGGGAAGACGGGACACCACGAGCATAGCTCTCATTCTGTAACTACTGTACTACAGTTGGGTAATTCCATGCAATTTTAAAACATTTAGACAATGCGTTTGCTTTGAAACATTAAATGAACACGAGTGCACATTTTAAAACACTCGGCAGGATATAGTATATATTTTATAATATTAAGGTATGATGAAATTGTTCAATTTGCACTGAATCGTTTATAATAATAATAATAATAATAATATTAATAATAATTCATAATTTATACAAAATATACATTGGTTATATTACGTTGTATATTAAATATAACACTGCTGCAGTTTTTGATAAGCCAACTAATTATATACAACATTTTGTACAAATTTTAAACCTAACAAAGTGGACAAGCTTCCAAATGAATACATATTCGAGGTCAGGTAATAAAGTTGTGTTATAAGCAAGGTAAGTTGAGGTAATTATCAGGAGAAAGTACCAAGCCCTTACAACTCTATATATCACTGGGAAGGGGTCAGGATAAAGATTTGGGATGGGACGGGTGGGAGAGAGAAATGGTGCCCAACCACATGGACGGTCGGGGATTGAACGCCGTCCTGCATGAAGCGAGGCCGTCACTCTACCGTCCAGCCCAAGTGGTTATTAGCAGGTATTATTATTTAATATACAGTACAGTAAAAGGTCAAGAAGAAAGTATACTTTATCAAGAGATATATTGTGGATAATTCAAGGTTTTGCCAGCTTAAAATATTTATACAGATTAACAAGAAAAAGCCTATTGGTGCTCGGGTGCGAATCACCAGCGAATTCCACATTGTGTGTACACTCCGTGATTGGTCGGGTGGAGACGTCCGCCTGACTTGGACCACGCTAGATGACTTGCGAGATTATGACAATCCTGTTGCTCCGGGTGCTCTGGTGAAAGCTACACTACTTTACTGTAAAGTGGTGGACCTAACTAGTGAAGATTCTCTGGCTGTACAGTTGAAGGATAGGTAATGTAATTATTCCTTCAGATACTGTTGAATAATTGAGGCATTTTTCACGATGCCACTCAGATATATTGTAAGCTTTTTACCTTGCCAGATTGAACGCAGGGCATGTCAAGTTACTTATTTATTAGTAAGTGATCCCCACTTATTCTATATTTACAACTGATATTGATTTACAGGTTTATATTTCAAAGACATTTATTTATTCCCCAATTGCATGAATCATGATAAAGACTGATAAAGCAATACTGTATATAATAGTTTGTGTGAAGCTGCAACAGTCTGGACTTTAGCCTTAATCCAACCTAGTAGACTGGTTAGGTAACAAGAGAGAAGAGATTGATCCAGGACACTTTTATTCATACAGAACCATGAACAAATGTACAGTACACATCAAGATCCAAGGGAACTTGAAGCACACTAGAAATAGCTGTCCATTCCAATACAAAAAATTAACTTAGTATGTGTACCCAACACAGACAGACAGCCCTGAGAAGCCATACAGTCATAATCAATGTGAGGTGGCACTTGCAAGCTGAGCCCTAAGCATAATTCCCACTCCAGGCATTGTAATACAATAAAGATGGGGATTATCTTGAGGTTATCTTGAGATGATTTCGGGGCTTTTTAGTGTCCCCGCGGCCCGGTCCTCGACCAGGCCTCCACCCCCAGGAAGCAGCCCGTGACAGCTGACTAACACCCAGGTACCTGTTTTACTGCTAGGTAACAGGGGCATAGGGTGAAAGACACTCTGCCCATTGTTTCTCGCCGGCGCCTGGGATCGAACCCAGGACCACAGGATCACAAGTCCAGCGTGCTGTCCACTCGGCCGACCGGCTCCCCTTCGGGAGCTGCCATACTTAGCATTGTCCCTGTTCAAGAATGGATGGGATGATGAATAATAAACATGGTCTGTGATGTGTGTGTGAGTGTCACACATGCCACCCAGATCACTGGATGGAATGAGTACAAAGCATGTTACTCTCATATGAAATGGTAACTGAAAACACTCTAAAATGCTTTAATGTATGAAGGAACATGGAAAGCACAGGCAGATGGCACCCCTCCACTCTAACAGGGAGAAGTGCAAAAAGGCCACTGACAGACTGCCCAACATAGAATAAGAAAGAATGGTTCATGTCCCACACAGAAGAAACGACCCAAAGTCTGAACACAAAGGTGATGCAACTCGATTGAGACCATCTGCTGAAAACATGCCATGGAGAGGGACAGAGAACACTATAAACATCAGAGGTCCGCGGTTATTCAACACCCTCCCAGCGAGCATAAGAAATATTACCGGAACAACCGTGGACATCTTCAAGAGAAAACTAGATCGTTTTCTCCAAGAAGTGCTGGACCAACCGGGCTGTGGTGGGTATGTGGGCCTGCGGGCCGCTCCAAGCAACAGCCTGGTGGACCAAACTCTCACAATTCAAGCTTGGCCTCGGGCCGGGCTTGGCAGTAGAACAACTCCCAGAACCCCATCAACCAGGTATATGTGGGCCTGCGAGCCGCTTCAAGCAACGGCCTAGTGGACCAAACTCTCACTTAGCCTCAGGCCGGGCTTGGGCAGTAGAACAACTCTCAGGACCCCATCAACCAGGTATATGTGGGCCTGCGAGCCGCTCCAAGCAACAGCCTAGTGGACCAAACTCTCACAAGTCAAGCCTGGCCTCGGGCCGGGCTTGGGGAGGAGAAGAACTCCCAGAACCCCATCAACCAGGTATCAACCAGGTAAAGGCAGTGAAAACTGATATACAACAATTATACTTTTTTTTTTTTTTTTTTTTTTTTTTTTTTTTTTTTATATACAAGAGTTGTTACATTCTTGTACAGCCACTAGTACGCGTAGCGTTTCGGGCAGGTCCTTAATCCTACGGTCCCTGGAATACGATCCCCTGCCGCGAAGAATCGTTTTTTCATCCAAGTACACATTTTACTGTTGAGTTAAACAGAGGCTACAGTTAAGGAATTGCGCCCAGTAAATCCTCCCCGGCCAGGATACGAACCCATGACATAGCGCTCGCGGAACGCCAGGCGAGTGTCTTACCACTACACCACGGAGACTGTAAATACTAGTACAGTAATACAGTACTAGAAAAACATAAGATAAGGCCTAAATATCTGAACAATCATGTGCCAGGTAAACCCCAAACTGGAAAACAAGTAGCAATTGATGCTTTGGTTTGCTGGTGCAACTGTAAACTACTAGTGGAACAGACCACCAAGAAAAAGTCACTACCAGTCCCTCACCTACCAGTGATAAACAAAATACAAACTTGAGAAAGAGAACAAGTCAGACATACACCTCAAGTATCACTTTCAGCAGAACCTTTTACTTTATATCTCACGCCCCAAAGGAGAATAACATGATCCTCTGTTCTAAGATGGGGGGAACCAAAAACTTCCCAAAACTGGCTTGGAAAAATAAGGTATTGCCTGTTGAACAGGAGTATACAGGAACATGGTAGTGCATGCAGGAAACCAACCATATGTATGGTCTCTACTGCACAAGTTGCAAGGTTTCAAGTCCCATCTAGCCAGGTGAGCAGAGAGATGAGATGTTGAAATAAATAGAAGGGCAAAGTCCGCTTCGTGTGAAACTGACTACTGCTAAGAATGCTGGTCTAGACCGTAACAGTAAGAAAGTGAAGACTAGCCTTATTTTTTCAAAATATTTGTTGCTTAATGCATTCTTGAGGATGCATATCTATGTTCTATGTTCGTTCTCGTTCTCTCTCTCTCTCGCACTTTCTTTAATCTCCTTTATACCCTATTTTATTTTTCTGTAGATATGATGGTGGCTTGGAGGTTGAAGTTTGGTCCCATTTGCCACAAGGTTCAGGACTAGGAGGGAGCAGTCTATTGGCAGGGGCGTTGGTTTCTGCCATCATTGTGTTGCTGGGACATCCACCACCCCGCCACTCACATCTCATCCATGCCACCTTGTGTATTGAACAGTGGCTTACAACTGGTGGTGGATGGCAAGACCAGGTTTGTTGATTGTATACTTATTCTTATTTGTTGTACTTAACCCATATATAACCTTCTGGGGTATATATAAATAAGTTACCACAGGTTTTGGAATTAAGTGGTACATTCTCACGAAGTGACTACCATGCATAGTATTGCATTGAACACTGTATTACACCAAGGAGTAACTTGATACATTTTGACAATATGATTCACATTATGATTTGGTTTACCTTAGTCATGGAATGGATGCCCTGTTAGGCTTATTGAGGTCTCCCTAAGCCAATTGCTAACCTTTTCCCAGGATGCAAACCACAACAGTTGCCTAACTTTCCTTGTTCTTTACATGTCAACTCAGAGAGTCAATTAATGATGAGATGAAGGTCTAGTATGCAAGCCTCTCCTTCTTCTTCATTTGAAATGATTATTTTTTTTTTACCTTAGAATACCTATAAGTGAGAGTAGGAACTGCTTTCTACTTCATCAACCTCATTAAATAATGAGGTTGATGAAATGGGAAAGGTGGTACAGGTATAGATAAAATCTAATTTAATGGAAAGGGGGGTGTGGAAGGGTACAAGGAAACAGCATAGATACTGTATGATAAAGAGGTTTCAATAACTTCTTTGAGTTCAAGTTCAAGTATGTTTATTGAGATAAGAAATACATCTCTAAAGGATAGAGTAGCTTAGGCTATTTCTACCCCCCTCTACTTCAAGTCCCTCAAGGGGCGCACAAATTCAGTGAGTACAAATCCACAAATCACAATACAAGAATCCCATTTAACATTGCAGGTTAATATAGTCCAGCACAGCATATAAGCGTTACACTCTTGGGGCAAAATTCTTGTAGCTCCTAAGTATACTGTCTATCATACCATTATCACACATCCAAACAATTTGATGTGGTACACTAGTTATTTCTATAATTCTATAGCTATCAATAAGTTGACAGTGTAATACATAATGTTCTAAGGTGTGGGCGTGCGGCATACTACATAATTTACACTCCTTATCTTTTTCACTGACATCAACACCGTATTGCCAGATATATTTGTATCCTTTCTTTGAGTTTGTGTTATGCTATGCAGGTTGGTGGGCTTGTAGGAGGAGCCAAGCTGGGAGTGAGCAGGAAAGGAACACCTGTCACTGTCTCTACTTACAAGATCCCTCTGTCCCAGACTTTTATTGACCGTCTTAATGAGCATCTCCTCTTACTTTATACTGGGAAGGTATGTTAATCCTGGTAATTTGTTTTATACTGGGCTGTATTCCTTACTAAATGGTTTTTGAGCTGTTGCTTTTCTGGGGGGAGCCCCGTCGGCTCCTTGGAGCTATACCAGGCTGATATGCTAATGTCAGACTTTGGCATCAGTCATGTGTATGGAGTTCTTAGGGCCTACCGGGGACCACGGCCAGAACCTGGCCCCCTCAGAGAGGCAAGGGGAGCAATGGCCTATAGAAACCCCCGTGTGGTTGGAAGCATTCTATGTCTGCCATTGACCGGGTCAAACATCCAGAAAGGTAAGCATCCCAAAACAAACCCCTATTCTGGTGAAAATTGCTACCAAAAGCCGAACTAGTGGATAGAACTCCCCAACAGAAAACAAGCAAACAAGTATGACGTCACATGTCACCGGGCCGCTGTCTGCGCAGCTCCCCCCTCCCCGGGAGGGGAAAGGGGGAGCCCCAGACCTCTCACGCTGGCTATCCACCCATCAGTTCTTCGGCTGATGCTAAAGGCACTGGTTGTGTGCTCCGGCTCCAGTGGTTGTTTCAGCACTGTGCCTAGAGTGTGGTGTCTGTCTTCTAGGTGGTGTGTGAGCCGGGAGTGAGTCTCCAGTACTCGGGCTGCATGCGCCTAGGGTTGCCTTCCCTAGGTGCCCTGTAAGTACTGCCCTTGGGGCTTGGGGTTACCTTCCACAAGTTCCTTGGGTCCTGCTTCTGCTAGGCCATCTACTTTTTGGTTTTCGGCCGCCCTTTGTGTGATGAGGGGTTCTGTCTCCCTTGTTCGCCTTAGGGTAAGGGGCAGTTTGCACTGGTAGGGGCGCAGGGTACTGCGCAGCTTGTTTTCACCAATCATAGCGGCCAGCTCTGTTCCGCCTGGGTACGCTGTCCTCTTGCGGGGGTTTTCTTTTTCCTTTTTGTTTGTCTACCTGGTGGGGGGTCTGCCTTTGGTTCTTGCCCCCTTTGTACTGGATTCTCTTCCTTCTTCCGGTGGTTCCCCCTGCTAGGTCCCCGTGAGTGTACACGTCCCGGGGGTTCAGTTCTTAGAAAGTTGTTTGGTAGACATGGGCGCCGGTTAGCAGTACCCTGCCTGGGATTACCTGAGCGCGAGTCCTCTTATAGTAAACGCTCAGGACCCTGGGAAACCCCTAGGGGGAGCGTGGGCCCGATGGATGTGGCCCCGGAGTCCCCCCCTCGCTTTGTGCGAGTTTGAGGGTTGCTCTGTCCCCTTGTCTCAGGGTGACACTCGCTGTTTTGCCTCCGTCAGCTGCCTGTGGGGTCGGTGACACCTTCAGCCCGGGGTCCTGCGAGTTTTGTTGCTTGCTGTGGCTCGGTTACCCAGTCTTCTGCTGACTAAGTGGGTGCAGGCAGCACGGGCGTTGCACGTTAAGTTTCGGTGGCAACGCGCTAGGTTGTTTGCTCCCCGGAAGCCCCGAGGCTGCCCCATTTTGATTGGTGGTCTTGTCGGGTCCCCCCCCCTTTCCTCCCTGCATCCGGGTCTTTACCGTCTGTAGGTTTGGGGTCGGGGCGGGGCTTCCATGGTTTTGAGACTCGGTTGGTCTCGGGGAATTCCCCTTCCGGGGTAGCGACGGGGGCATTCGAGCCTGTTCCTCCAGCCGTGTTGTATGAGTCTGCCAGTGGGCTCCCTTCCTTTGTGTTTTTCACGGCTGCCCCGGTTTTTCTTGAGGCTGGGGCTTTGGGGGGACGGCTCGGCCCCGGGGCCTGCCGTGTGGGTTCCCGGGGCTGGGGAAGGGCTGACTTGGGGGGCCTCTGGCCCCATTGGAACCCGCCGGGGTTTTTTCTACCCTCTGGGCGGGGCTTGCGGTTGGGCGGAGTGGGGTTTTTCCTTCCCCACTCTCCGCACGAGTTGTTGGGCGTCGGCCCTTCCCCGGGCTCGGTTCCTTGTCCCTTACGCCCGTTGGTTCCGTCCTGTCGGTGGGTGCTCTTCTCCGTTGTTCACCCCTTTTAACTTGGGACGGGACTTCCCCGTCATGTTCCCCTCTTCTTGGGGTTCTGCATGACTTTAGGTCTCGGGTGCGACTGGGTTTTTCGGTGCCTTCGTCGTTTGTGCTTGCTTCTGTGTTCTCGAAGGTTCAGGATGGTTTTTGCTCCTTCCCGTATTAGTGGATCGCCTGTCGTCTGCCGGTGCGGCTTCCCTCCGGTCCTTTCTAGGGCTTGTTGGTCCTCTTCCGGGCTTCCTCTTGAGTTTTTGGCCCTGTCTCGTTCTTTTGTTCATGTATCTTCTCTCCGTGCTGTGTCTTGGTGCTGCTCGTTTTCCTTCCATACTCCTGGTCCGAGATGCCAGGTTGGGCTGCTTGTAGCCCAATTGGGCTACTGGTGGCCCGGTTGGATTCCGTTCGGTTCATTGGTTTCCTTAATGAGCCGGCTATGTGTGTCGTTGCTTACTCCTTTTTTAATTTTTTGGCTTCTGTTCCCGTGCGTTGGGCTGTTTCTTCTCTTCAGCGAATCGCCCGGGATACGTCCTGTTGGGCTACTTTTCGTTCGTGTCCTGTGCATGCGCCGTGGGAGTTTGTTTTGGTTCGGACGGTGTGCACCAGTGCTGGGGTTCTCCGTCCATTTTCTCTAGAGTGCTTTGCCTCTCGCTCGTCTCATTCTCCAGTCCGTGCCCAGTTGCTCCTGGGGGTGTTCTGGGGTGCCGCTATGGGGAGGACGCCGGGTTTTCCCTGCGTTTTAGGTAGTGGGCGCCTCTGTCGCCTCTCCCCTCCTCTTCTGCATGGGCGGCTCTGGCCTGCTTCCGCGGGTGGTGCTCCCGGTTCTCGGCTGCGGGTGCACGATACCCTGGCCGCCTCGGGCGGCACCGGCCTTGTGACATTGTCTTGACCCTTCTGTGCCACTGTTCTGCAGGTGAGTTTATGCGGTCTGGCGTCTCCTTCGTCCAGGCGCTGGTTCATTTTTGGGGGTACGAATGGGAGTACATACGTACATGAGTACATGGAACATACTAACAGGGGTGCCTGCAGCAGGCCTATTGGCCCATACGTGGCAGCTCTTGTTCCTAACCTCCCGATTCGGACGTCAGCCCGCAGGTGACTGCAGGAGGCCTCTCGCCCCATACGGGGCGGCTCCTGACTGTGCCCATCCAGTCCCTCTCCTATGCATGTCCACCCATGCGGGCTTGGGGAGTAGAATAACTCCCAGAACCCCATCAAGCAGGTATCAAGCAGGTTTCGTGCTTGTGTTCGGGGCCCCACCTCCACCGTGTTCCTCGGTGCGTAAGTGGTGGTGCCTGTTGTGTGGTACATGTTCCTGTGTCAAGGGTGTTTTGTGGTGACGTTTTGCTGCGGTTTTGATACTGCGGTTGCGTGTTGGAGTGCGCTTGTGGCGTTTTGTTCGGCCCTTCCGTGCTTCTTCCTGGGGCCTTCCTTGTTTGGGTTATTTGTTCCCATGCTTTCTGGGTCACTCATTCCTTGCCGGTCTTGCTGTACCTGGCTTAGCTTTTCCATGTACATTCAAATTGAAGTTCAGATGTTTATTCAGGTAATGTACATACTTACAAGGTGAGATACAAACATTGATGGAACATTGGATTCTCTGTTCTCCCCTAGTTGTGCTTGTTGGGGTTGAGCTTTGGCTCTTGGTCCCGCCTCTCCGCTGTCGGTCGCTTAGTGTGCGGGTTCCTGGGCCTGCTGGGCTCTTTCGTATCTACGTTTGACCCTGTCTGGAGTCAGGCTCCGCCATTCTCTGCCTTCGCCGCGAGACGTTCCTTCCGGTTGCATGTTACATGTTGCATATTGCCTGTTGCGTGTTGCATGTGGTGCATGTTGCTGGTGCGCGTGTGCATTGGTAACGTGTGCCACGGTGACATGTGGTACTTGTTACTGTGTCGGGATGTTGTGGGGTGACATTTTGCTGTAGTTTTGTGCCTGGGGTTGCGCTTTGGCTCTTTCGTCCTGCCTCTCCCCCCTGTCGCTTCCCTGACATCTCCTGGGCTCTGTCAGGTCTGCACTTGCAGCTGTGTGTGGGGTCCGCTTCCACCACTTCCCTTCCTCGTGCATCTCCTTCACGCTGTTGTGTGTTTTGTTTGTGCCTTTTGGCCTTCCTGTTGCCAGGTTTGGGTTCCTGTTTTCCTGGCTTGCCCTGCCTGTGGGCTTTTTCGGGGTCTCGCGGTGTTCCTTCTCTGGGGTCTCGCGTCGGGCCCGTAGTTTCCGGTCTCCTGGCGAGCTCGCTCGCGTTGGGGGGTTTTCTGTTCGACAGACGTTCCATCTCCGTCTTTGCCGGCTTGGGTTTCCGGCTCTGCCTCCTCGGTGGTCGCGCCCGAGATCTTCCCGCGGCTCCGCCTCTTCCTAGGCTTGGATGAACCTTGACGGGGCTGGTTGGGTTCTGCCTCGAGTCTCTCACCTTTGGTAGGTGGTCGGGTGGCTTCGTAGTTGGTGTCCCACCTGCGTGCTTTTCTTGGCGGCAGTATGGGGTATTTTGGTGGTCCTTCCTTTTCCTTCTGTCCCTTCTTAGGTGCTGCGTTTGTTGGCGTTGGCTTGGCTTTTCTGGTGGGGGTTGGGGGCCGTTGACTTGCCGCATACTGTCGCCTCGTTTTGTGCGGCGCTGGCGGAGCCGCTTCGGCTTGCTTTCGGTCTTGGTGTTACATCTGCGGTGTTCGTAGGCTGTCTCGTGTGTTGTTTCGCCTCCGGCCTGTTCTTGCGCCACTTGGGCCGTCCTAATCTTTGGGCAGCATGCTCTTTCTGCTCCTCGGTTGGTGGTGGCCCCTTCGGCCCGGGTTTGTTTTGGCAGCTCTTTTCCTGTTGGCGTTTGCCTCTAGGGCTTGGGTCGCTGAGTTTCTTGCTCTCCTTCGTTCATGGCATTTGGTTTGTTCGGTTGGAGCCGTCTCCCTCTTTTCTGGTACAGGGTGAGGCTGCAGCGTTCCTTTGGTTTGTTTGGTGCTTGGTTGGTCGGGCCGGGGGTGCATCGTGTTTTGTGTTCTGTTGCGGCCCTCTGCTGTTGTTTGCGTGCCTCAGCTTTTGTGTCCTGGGCGCGGTTTCGGTTGATCCGGTTCCGTTCTTCCCTGTTCGCGGGAGAAGGTGTCCCGGGTCGTCAGCCGTGTTATTGCGGCTAGCCAGCCTGTGTTCTTTGCCCGTGGCGTTCGTGGTTTAGCTGCTCTTGCTGCAGTCTTGACGGCATGTCCTTGCTGACTTCCTCTGCGGGGTTTTTTGGCAGTCATACAGGGGCCTGGCTGCTCATTGTCTTGTGTCGTTCCAGGGCCCGTTCGGGCCTGTATCACCTTAGGTTGGCGGTTGCAGCCAGTTAGCTCGCTTTCTGTTGAAGGGTGCGTGATGTTTGCCTCCCGGATCCGTCCCTTTGACCTTCCTCTGTGGGTTGTTAGCTCCGGGGAGCCGACGGGGCTCCCCCCAGAAAACCAGCGTTGAATGTAATGAAACGCCATTTTCTGGGTGAGACCCGGAGGCTCCCCGGCAACCCTCCCTCCCTCCAGTCGGCGGTTTTTCGAGTGTTTTGACATCCAGTCTAGTAACTGATGGGTGGATAGCCGGCGTGAGAGGTCTGGGGCTCCCCCTTCCCCCTCCCGGGGAGGGGGGAGCTGCGCAGACAGAGGCGCGGTGACGTCATACTTGTTTGCTTGTTTTTTGTTGGGGAGTTCTATCCACTAGTTCGGCTTTTTTTACCAGATTTTTTTTTTTTCAATTTTTACCAGAATAGGGTTTTGTTTTGGGATGCTTACCTTTCTGGATGTTTGACCCGGTCGATGGCAGACACAGAATGCTTCCAACCACACGGGGTTTCTATAGGCCATTGCTCCCCTTGCCTCTCTGAGGGGGCTAGGTTCTGGCCGTGGTCCCTGGTAGGCCCTAAGAACTCCATACACATGACTGATGCCAAAGTCTGACATTAGCATATCAGCCTGGTATAGCTCTGGGGAGCCGGGTCCGAAAATGGTCTCACCCAGACTTTTTTTTTACAATGGCGTTTCATTACATTCAATTCCGTATTACTGTAGATTTACAGTTATAGACCGGTACGTATTACTGTAGATTTACAGTTATAGACCGGTACGTATTACTGTAGATTTACAGTTATAGACCGGTACGTATTACTGTAGATTTACAGTTATAGACCGGTACGTATTACTGTAGATTTACAGTTATAGACCGGTACGTATTACTGTAGATTTACAGTTATAGACCGGTATTTTTAATAAATGCCTTGTACCATTAGATTGTTGGGTAATACAGTATTATCTTGGTGCCCATATGGAGATTCACCTGATGGTCTCTGTTTTAATGACCTCGTTGTTGGCAGGAAGCCAGTGGTTTGGAGAGTGATGCCTTTATATTTTATATGATTAGAATGAGATTAACCAGTTTAGGAGAGAAACAAAGAAGTGCCTTATCAATATTTTGTTGTCAATCTGTAGCACAGTGGTCAGTCGTTATCTTGAGATGATTTCGGGGTTTAGTGTCCCCGCGGCCCGGTCCTCGACCAGGCCTCGATCCCCAGGAAGCAGCCCGTGACAGCTGACTAACTCCCCGGTACCTATTTACTGCTTGGTAACGGGGGCATCAGGGTGAAAGAAACTCTGCTCATTGATTCTCGCCGGCGCCCGGGATCGAACCCGGGACCACAGGATCACGCGTCCAGTGTTCTGTCCCTGTCAGCTGAATCTATTCAACTAGGGTGGCTGAATCCCTAGTCGGTCCACAACCAAAGGGTACTGGGTTTGATTCCTGTGGACAGATAAAATTGTTTGGGTGCAATTTCCTTTACCCAGTTCCTTTGTTCACAGAGAACTTAATATATATTTTGAGGTCAGGCAACTGTTGGAAAAGGTCAGTAGTTGACCTTAGGGTACCTCAACAACCCGTTCTCGCACTTGCCCTCAGTCAATATTGGCTTATATAATAAGTGCATATGTGACATACTAATTGTTTGTGAATATTTTAGTTTACCTTGAAAAGCTTCATAGAAAACACCGACCTCACCTAACCTTCTTAGTATGTTAAGATAAGCATCTTATTGCTTCTTATTTACAATTATTACTTAACCTATCAACGGTATAGGTTAAGTAATAATTGTAATTATTATAATTGTAAAAACCTATCAACGGTATAGGTTAAGTAATAATTGTAATTAAGAAGCAATAAGATGCTTATCTTGACATACTAAGAAGGTTAGGTGAGGTCGGTGTTTTCTATGAAGCTTTTCATGGTAAACTAAAATATTCACAATCAATTAGTATGTCACATATGCACTTATTAAATAAGCCAATATTGACTATAAGCAAGTGCGAGAACGGGTTGACCTCAATGAACCTAACATCCTTCCTGTCCCCAACAATGGGAAACCCTATATATATATAAAGCATATTTTACAAGAGAGCTTGCATCCTAAGTAAGCTAATCATATTTACTGTTATTTTGCCAATCTTCCATAATTGCTATTACAATAGTACTATAGTAAATAGTACTATAGTACAATAATAAATAGTGCTCACATTTCAGATTAATATTTGCAACTCAAACTAAAATACAGAATATCACAATTCCATAAATTTGAACTCTCTTATGTATTAATAATACAATACAATCTTATTTAGGTAAGGTACATACATACAATAAATATTTATAAGGATTGTTTGACTTATAGGTATAGCTAGTACATACAATGCCTAAAGCCACTATTACGCAAAGCGTTTCGGGCATAATAATATAATTACTCTTATGTTTTTTTATGCTAGGAGTGGGAAGCATGAATAATACATTATTTTAATTTTAAATGCTCTATACTGTATAATTATTACAGTATTTTTAACAATAAAATACTGTATTACTCATTGACTAACACGCCTAACAACAAGAAGATTAAGCAAGGCATTTATTTCCAGGTGTCCAAGCTCATGGCCACCTTACACAATCACTGTCTGGGCATGTCTCTGGCTGGAGCTGGTGGAGGCGGCTACCTTTATGCATTAAAGGCCAGACCTGGACCGCTGGAAGACAGTGTTGACCTTGGTGGGTTAACCAGCGACTGTGTCGAAGTGGACCAGCAAGGGCTAGAGTTATGGGTAGGGGGAGAAACGGTCACTCAAGTTAATGAAGATGATGTTTTGACCCATGAGAAGTGGCTGACACTGCTTGAAATGATACAAGTACCGTAGTTAGCAATATTTCAGCTCAGTATAATGGAGACGTTATTTTTATGCTCGTATGACAAAGTAGTAAAAGGCTTCTGTTTCTCTTCACTTCCATTTATATATTTGCCGATATTCCAGAATCAGTCTTTATGCCCTCTTTAAGCAATCTTATTATTGACAATTGTAGACCAAACTGAAACACTTATAAATATCTTAATTACTGTGATATCCCATAAATTTTATAAAAATGTCGGCATTCTTTAACATCCATAATAATAAAATTCAAAAAATCAAATTCAAAAATCAAATGTTTTTTCAGGTAAAGTACATACATACAAAGTGTGATACAACTTGTGGCATAGGAGCCTATGCCACACTTTCTAACTTCAGAATTGCTTTTAAATACATGGATGGCGATATACTAAAGAAATTGTTCACGACTTTTGTTAGGCCAAAGCTAGAATATGCAGCGGTTGTGTGGTGCCCATATCTTAAGAAGCACATTAACAAACTGGAAAAGGTGCAAAGACATGCTACGAAGTGGCTCCCTGAACTGAAGGGCAAGAGCTACGAAGAGAGGTTAGAGGCATTAAATATGCCAAAACTGGAAGACAGAAGAAAAAGAGGTGATATGATCACTACATACAAAATAGTAACAGGAATTGATAAAATCGATAGGGAAGATTTCCTGAGACCTGGAACTTTAAGAACAAGAGGTCATAGATATAAA